ACCCTGGGTCCCCGCCTTTTTGTCCCCAGAGTGGGAGCTCTCCCTCCCTGGTTTTGTTGCTGTGGGAGCAGGAGCACAGAAGGAAGGGGACCCAGGAGCCCCCAGATAAGGTCCTGGCAGTTGCCATGGTGATGGGAAGTCCCTGCTGGGCCGCCAGCCCTGCATTGGGTGTGAAGGTGGGAGGGAAAGACAGGGAAGGAAGACTGGGTCCTTTTGTGGTTCTTCCTGACACCCAGCTGTTGATCACGCTGGTGATTGTTTACTCTGAGAGGTGCAAGGGCAGTTGGAGGAAAGGAGGCTTTCTCCTGCCCCTCCTGGAGGGAACACCCTTGTCAGTGAGCCTGCACTGTGAGGGACTGTTGTTCCTGGACTCCCAGGAGGTCCGTGGGCTTAGGGGAGTGCGGGCTCTGCAGAGGGACTGGACAGGCCACAGTAGGCTGGGTTTGCACAGGGGCACAACCACTGGTTTCTATACCTCATGGAAGCCTGGCTAGGTTCTGGGGCGGCAGCATTTGCAGGTTAACAACTGGACGTTGGCATCAGGGCCTCCAGAGCTTACACACTGGCTCAGCCATTCACTGGCAGTGTGGCCTCAGGGAGGTTGCTGCACCACTCAGAGCAAGCCTCCCTGGGGTGGTGTGAGGATCAGGTGAAGCCACTGCTGTCTGTGATCCATGCCCTGCCGGAGGTGATGTGCCCCCTACACGGGCTGCTTGTTAGCACCTGGGGCTGCACCTGGCGGGCCCCTGCCAGTTCCATCGAAGACTTCTCAGGGTGAAATCTGTGCACCTCTCTACTGATCAGTGGCTAGAACCACAGGGCGACTCTTACCTCCACCTGGACTTGCTGCTATGGGAACTGGCTGTTGTTTGTGCAAACATCTTGAAAACTTTGAAGCTTGACACTGCACAGGCCAGGTGCCAGGCTCTTTCTGACTTGCACTGATTGACTTTGCCCTTTTCCTACCAGGAGCTGACCGGACCATCACTCTTTTTAAAAAAAATTTTTTTGATGTGTGAGAAAGACTGGCCCTGAGCTAACATGTGTTGCCAGTCTTCCTTTTTGCTTGAGGAAGATTGGCCCTGAGCTAATATCTGTGTCAGTCTTCCTCTATTTTGTATGTGCGACACCGCCACAGCCTGGCTTGATAAGCGGTGCTAGGTCCACACCTGGGATCCAAACCTCGAGCCACTGGAGCTGAGTGTGAGAACTTAACCACTGCACCACCGGGCCAGCCCCGGACCATCACTCTTTAGCGGCCGATGGAGGTAAGGCAGACAGCACTGCCAGCTGTCCTGCAGGGATCCTCAGCCCACAGGAGGCCCTGCCCCGCTCCAAGCCCAGCTGCCGGGCTCTTCCTCATGAAATTTCCCCCTGGAACCCAGGGAAGCACTCACCAGCAGAGCAGCTGAGAAGGAAACATTTTATTAACATGCCTCTTTGTTTCCAGTGCGCTTATAAACACGTGGGCCCTGGACCACATGTGTAGCCTTAAGACTTCAAAGGGGACTTGAAAGCCACGTTTTCATATGGCTCTGGAGTAAAATGAATTTGATGTAAAATGAGTCGGGCACATAGGGATTTAATTTCCCTTGAAAATTACAAAGGCTTAAAAATTAGAAGAATAAACGTTAATGGCAAAATGAATGCTCCAGCCTCGTCGACCCCTCAAGCTTGTATTTTTAAGATGGGGAAGAAGATCGATCATTTAGGTGCCCTTTGGCCCCAGGGCTGGGCCTGATGGAAGCAGGGTCTAGGAAAGGAAGGGAATCTTTCCAAGTTCCCATCAGCTTGGAGGAGAGGGGGCTCTGTAATCAGAGTGTTGCACTAATGGAAATGCTCTCCTAGAAACACATCTTGTTTAGCTAATTCTTTTTTTCCTCCTCACAATAGCAGATCATAACTCCAAGAGGGAGTGAAAATGTCACATCGCTTGAGGGAAGACTGAATTCGATTTTTTCCCTCTGGCTTTGTCCTAGGGATGCTGCCCAAACACATGGTGGGAGGAATCTTCTGAAACAAAGGGATCCTTTTTGCTTCGTGATAAGGCTTTTGTCTGGGCCCCTGAGCCCACAGGGGACCAGCTCATGTGCTAGGAATTTAGGGTGGCACCACACCCCCTTGTCTCTCCCTCAGGAGTTCCCCAATCAGGCAGGCAGGAGATGGGGAATTTACGAGCCTCACCTGGGGCTCGCATCCAAGGGTGTTTTGTATTTTGAACGTGCTTATCTCCCCAGGACGGAGCTCAAAAGATGAAAGAATCTGCGAGCCCTCATTGCCCACGTTACTCCCTCTGCCGTGTCCACTGCCTTCCCGAGGCACCAGGACGCCTCTCTCTGTGGGCGTGGGCATTCTTAGGGCAAAGCTGAACTCTGGCGGGGTAATCTCAGAGGAGAAAGAAGCCTTGGTGGAGGCACCGAGCCCCGGAAATGCCAGCTTTAGGCCCAGCTACTGGCAGCCAGCGCTAGTAGCAGCAAAATAACCTAGTGTGTGAGAAACACTCAGAAAGCAGCGGGTCAGAGGCCGCAGGTTCACGTCTGGATTCCCATCCCAGCTCTGCTGCTTACCAGCCCAGACACCCCAGGCAATTCCCTTCTCTGTGCCTCAGTGCCCTCACCCATAAAATGGGAAAATAACGGGAAAGGTCCATTCCAAGATTAACCTCGAGAAAGAACCCACAACACATCCATCCCTCAACTGACCTAGGCAAACCCTCCCCCACCCAGAGCTGCTGGGAGAGGGGCTGCCTGAGTGTTGGGGAGACTCAGATCCCCAAGGTGGAGTGGAAGGGGGACCTCAGTGAGGGACGAAGTGGTTTGTAGGGAAGATGTTTGGCATGGTGGCTATAAGTACAGGCCAGAAGGTTCAAATCCTGGCCCTGCCATGACCTCGGGCAGATCACTTACTCTCAGAGAAAACAGTGCCTCTGTTTTCCCTCCAATGTAACGGGGTAGTAGGACCTACCCCATAGAGGGCTCTGAGGGTTAACTGAGGATGCAGTGAAGAGCAGATCACAGCGTCCAGCACCTGGTGAGGGTTTACAATATGACTCTTACCCGTGGAAGCTGCCTCGGATGACCCTTCCCCGCGCAAAGTTTAAATCTAGGAGGGGCTATCTGAAGGACACAAATCAGGCCTGAGTCCTAGGAGAGGCGCTTGTGGTCAGAGCCCCCGGCTGGGGTTTAGGATTGGGGGCCAACAGTGGGAGTGGTAGGGTGGGCCAATGACAGAACTCCCAGCCAGCTGGGCCTTTGGTGGCTGGGGGGTGGGGGGGTGGGGAGTGGCCAGCAAGGTGGGAGGCGAGCCAGGGGTGGCAGGTGCCCTGGGAAGGCCCAGCTCGCATCTCAGCCTCCCCTCACTTCCAGCTTCAGTGCACCCCTTCTCCCTTAGCACAGCCTGGGCCAGAGACAGGCCTGGGGGGCCCCACACCTTCCCGGGGATAGCTGGATGGGCTTTAAGTGAGTTATTTAGAGTAAGAAAGTCATCATACTTTAATGCTAGGCGCTGACTCAGGATTATCCCCAGTTTTTACAGGGGAGTTTGCCAGGGCTCAGAGAGGTTAAGGGACTTGTCCAACGTCACACAGGTAGTAATAATCAAAGCCGTGTTAAAACTCGGGAATTTAGGAAGGGGACCATGAAGCTGCGTGCTGCGTGCTGCATGCAGGGGTCTGGCCGGGGTGGGTGCTGGCCGACACGGGGCCAGATTTGGAAGGCGGCGCTCCTTGTGGGCCGTAAGCTGTCCCCGGGCCCAGTGGGAGGCAGCACTTTGGGGGCACCTATCCACACCCTCCCACTGCCCTCCCCTCCCGGGAGAGCCTTCCACCCCGCAGCGGAGCCCCGGGTCCGCCCGCGCGCCAGGCCTGGCTGTCCGCCACGTGCGGGGAGGCCGGACGCGCAGGCTGTGGTCGCCGCGGTGACCGCCAGGGGTCGCCTTGGACACGCGACCTGCGGCACCGAGGGCAGCCCCTGTGGTCGGAGACGCGGAGTCTCCGAGGCCCCGAGGAAGGGGACGCCCACCGCCGCCCTCGGGCGCTCAGGGCGCCTGGAATTACCAGCCTGGCGCGGGGATAGCGGGGGTGGTCTGGGTCGGGGAGGCTGTCTACAGTCTAGCAGACCCGGCCCCCGACCGATTGGCCCCAGAGTCCCTCCATCCCTCCATCCCTCCCCCACACGCCCGCGGCGACAGAGCCACTGTGAAGTGCGCTTCTTCGTCGTTTCCCTGAGCCCTTTTCCGAGCGCTTGCTCTACGCCAGGCGGTACCCCCAGAGGGACCCTGGAGACACAGGCGCGGTGTTGAGCCACTCAGGACCCAGAAGCAAAGCTGCACGAGGGCAGGACGTTTTGTCCGCTCTGTTCCCTTGCAGCTGCGCACATGGAAAGCCCTCAGTACGGAAAGAATGATCGGCGCTTACAGACTGATCAGGGAGCCTGGATTAACAAGGTGATCGCACGATTAATCGGACCCCTGTGAGTGCTCCAAAGGAGACACACCAGCCCGGGCTGTCCCACTGATGTGGGGTCGGTGAGCCGAGGAGTCGAAAGAAAGATTTCTTAGACTCTCAAGATCTGGCAGTAGTGCTCTTTTATTTAGAGAATAGTGTGGAATAGCATGGGGACAGGGCCCATGGGCAGGCAGAGCAGCTGCTGCTGCCCCCGCTGGCATGGGGACAGGACCCATGGGTAGGCAGAGCTGGTGCGTGGGGACAGGACCCACGGGCGGTCAGAGCTCCTGCTGCTGCCCCGAGTTGAGGGTTAGGGCTAATTTTATAAGGCATGGGTACGTGACTTATTTTTACTGGAGAAAAGAAAAGATGATGTAAAAAGTCATTAAATGATTTCAGTGCAGATGGGGTCTGGTTATTGTGCGGTCATATAACTTTAGATACGAATCTGGCCATATAGATCGGCATGTAGGTGAGGATGCCCTGGGCTTCTCTCCCTGGGGCAGTCTTAATTCATACCATAAAAAAAGTCCACTGGGTCGTATAGTTTGGCATGTAGGCCAGGTCACCTTGGGCTTTTCTAGCTGGGGCAGCCTTAATCCACATCACCACCACACCAGCGGGCTCTTACTCTTCCCACATTTACCAGACTTCCTCATAGCCCTCATTTTACAGCTGGGAAGACTGAGGCACAGAGGGCAGTCTATACAGCCCAGTCTGTACAGTCCCCCTTGCTTTTCAGACTAGGGGTCCCGGTCTGCAAGTCTTCACGAGTCTGTATCCCCTTCTGGACTGTGAACCCCTGAGGTCAGGAAGCATGTGGGCTCCTCCTCGTCTACCTTTAATACCCTGCTCAGTGCCAAGCACAGATTCAAGAGCAAAGGAATGTTTGTTGAATGAATAAACAAGAGCACATCCAGCAGAAAGTGGAAAGGCGAGTGGCCCCAGGGCATTATGGGTAACCTCCTTCTCACTGGTACTCACCCCTAGAGGGCCCTGGTCAGGGAGGCAGAGGGTGTGAAGATCCCAGAGGCTGACTTTATGGTGCTGCCAGGGTAGTTGCTGGGTCCTCCTCTGCACCCCACTGTCGGTGTCTCTCTCACAGTGCTTGTCACATTCCATGGGTGAGTTTTGTGGCAGTAACACACAGATGTGGGTTTTGGAGTCAATCCCAGTGCGACCACTTAAAATGGCTGAGCCTCAGTTTCCTCATCTGGAAATGTGACATGATAGCCTGTTAGTAAGTCGCTGTGAGGATTAAGTGAGATCACTCAGTAATGCCCCCAGCCCAGGCCTGGCACAGAGTAGGTACCACCACATACCAGCGGTGCGCCCTGGGGTGGGCACAGCCTTTCTCCAAGTCTCCACCTCTGCACCTGAAAAGGAAGTTGAGAGCCCCAGCAATCAGGACGGGTGGTTTATGGCACGCAGAGCGCAGCTGGCTCCTAGCAGGTGCTGGTTAAACACAGCTGGCATTTACGGAGGGGCCCCTCCCTGCCAGGCACTGTCCCAGGTTGTTACACATGGTCTGGTGTCATTCTCGCAATACTAGGGGTAGTTCCCACTACCAGCCCGCCGTACAGATGAGGCCACGCAGTATCAAGTGGCAGAGCTGTGTGCGAGGAGTTGATGTTGAGTCGCCGTGGCAACCCCCCAGCCATGTGTCCAGAGCTTCTTGAGGGTGGAGACGGGGCCTCTCTTTGGCCCCCTTGGGTGCCTGGTGCACAGTAGGTGTCCACTGGGGTTTGCTAAATGGAATAGAAGCTATGACACCCCATCTGCCACCACCTCTGGGTGTGAGGGAGAAAGGCCAGGGCCCTGAGTCCCTCTGAGCCAGAACATGGCCCCCTGCCAGGCACCCTGGATGGGTTGTGGCCGGCCTTTGCTCCCTTTTCCAGCCGGGTCTGTCCTACTGCCTGTGGATGGCCCCGATCCCCTGAGCAGGCCAGCCCCTCCTCTCCTTGGCATCCCAGCCCTCATTGGCTGCACGTCTCCCTGGAGACAAGGCACTAGCAGCCCAAACATAGGCCACAGAGCTGTGCGCAGAATGTTTCCTCCCTCTCCCCCTCCTGCCCCCTCCCCCTGACTGCCATGAAGGATCTGTTCCTCTCCCAGAACCAAGCCTGCTGGCAGGAGCACATCCAGAAGGAGGCTGCCGCCCGAGTCGCCTGGAAGATCAACTATGGCCACAAGTACCCGAAGGAGGGGCCCATACCCAGGAAGCGGCTCCAGCAGGCCCCACTCAGGTCAGCCTTGGGAGTGGGACCAATGCCTGTCACCAGCTCCCAGGACAGCAAGGAGGTACAGGCTGGATGGCCAGAGACTAAGGGGGTCTGGGATCAGCTGTCCAGAGGAGTGGGTGTCCAGGACCCCCCGCCCAAGGGAGACATCTCAGAAGCCCGAGGAGTAACTTGGGGGCCAGCAGGCCAGACCAAGCTAGAGGGCTTAAAAATGAGGCAGGTCCCCCCGAGCACCCTGCAGCTGCTCTTTCAAGGCATCTCCCACGACGGCCAAGGCCGGGCTTTGTACCTCCAGGAGCGGCATCGGCAGAAGCCGGAGGAGAAGTATCCATACCCAATCCTGTCATCCTGGGAGTACGGCTGGCATGTGGGTAAGGGCAACCACCATCTTGCCGTTCCAGGTTTTGGCAGGCAGGCCCAGCCTCCCTCCCCAGCCTCGTCCATCATCACCACTCGCTCACCTGCACATCCCACTGGCGCACCGGTTCTCCAGGCAGGCCAGGCACCTTCACACTGCCAGGCCTTTGCACATTCTTGTCTCTGCATCTGGAATGCTCCTTCTGCCCCTAACTCCTCTGCTCGCTAACTTTCACATGTCACCTACTCTGGGAAGTCTTCCAAGAGTCCTCCAGGCAGATTTGAGCCCACCCTTGTGCTTCTGCAGCTTTTTGAGTCTGCAAAACCACTGGGCTCACTGTGTCATCATTCCTTGAGTATCCCTCTGGCCCGCTGAGCCTTTTGGGTTCCAGGACTTCTCAGTTAACTTTATGAATGCCCTCCCTGCTCCCAGCTTGAAGCTGGTACTCAGTGACTGTGGAATGAATGAACCAATGAGTGAATATGGACTAGGGAATGAGGCCCTGATTTGGAATCAGGAAATGTGAGTTCGAATCCTAGCTCCACCACTTCCAACTTGTGTGAGCTCAATCTCTGGGGCTCAGTTTCCACATCTGAAAAATGGGAATAAACTAGTACCTGCCTTCCTACGTCACAGAGTTTTGGGGAAATCAGGTGGGAAAGCACCTGGAACAGGAATTATCCTCACATAGGCCCCATGAGGTAGGTAGGACAGACATTCATTCATTCATTCAACATGAGATTCTTTCATTCAGGACAACCTGTAGTGGTAGATCCTCAGTCACTGACTCCCAGCTCTGCCCCCAAGTGAGTTAGTGAATGACCGAGCACGGAAGAATGACCCAGTTTGAAATTAGGTGGCCTGGGTTTGATTCTGGTTTGTTCATTCATTCATTCAACAAATGTTTATTGAGCACCTGATATATGTCAGGCACTTTTCGTCCCTGGGGACAGCAGAGAACAAGACAGACATGGTCCCTCGCAGAGGGCCGACAACAAACAGATCTATGATGGCATGTCAGGCAGTGGTCCGTGCTAGAGCAGCCCTTTTCAATCTTTGCTGTGCACGGGAACCACCTGGGGAATCTTGTTAAACTGTAGGTTCCGATCCAACCGGTGAGGTCGGGAATGCGGCAAGATGCTGTATTCCCAAGAAGCTCCCCGATGATGCTGATGCTGCTGGTCCGCGGACCACACTGTTGAGGCTGTAAAAAGAGACAAACCAGGAGAAAGAGATGGAGACTGAGGGGCTGGCATGGCCGAGAGGGTGGTCAGGGAAGGTCTGCTGGGAAGGGGACACTTGAGCGGAGTCCTGAGTCATATCTACTCCATTGGATTCTTCTGAGAAGGGCCTGACTCCCCGGGCCCACAGAGCGAGTCTCAGTTCAGGCACCGTGTGGGTCTCCTCTGTCCCTCACCTGCTCTGGCCCGCAGGTCCGTGCCCACTGTCCGTGAAGCCATTGCCAGGTGCAGGGTGGGCAGATTGAGCAAATTAAAATGCAGGATGCCCAATTGTATTTGAATTTTAGATAAACCAATAATTTTTTAGTATAAGTATATCCCAAATATTGCATGGGATGTACTTATACTAAAAAATTATTCATTGTTTATCTGAATTCATATGTAACTGGGCATCCTGTATTTTATCCAGCTACCCAATCACTGGAGCCAGAGGAGCTGATTCTGGATGCCCACTGGGTACTAGGGCAGTGCCAGGTTTGGGGTAGAGACAGAAAGACTGTTTTCCTCCATAGTGGTTCTGCTTAAGCCAATAGTTGCTCCCAGAATCTCTGGAACATTCTGTAAGCTTCTGGCCTCATGCCCCTAACTCAACCAAGTTCAGGGACCAGATAGGGAACAGATGACAGACCTCTGCTGACCACTTGTCCCCACTCCCCAACACTTAGACACGGGAGCTGTGTCATCCCAGTGGGTGCCAACAGCTATGGGGAAGAGGGATCGAAGATGTTGTCCGGGCCCCAGCTAGGTCAGCCCCAAATGCCCTTTTACACACAGACAGCACTAGTCCAGTGCTCAACAAATGCTAACAAGTATTATTATTGTGATTATTAATTCAATAGGCAGGATTTGCAGCCTAGGATTTGGCTCCCCTAGCATTTGGGGAGCTGGTCAGCCTTGGGCAGGACCCTGGAGGTGCTCACCGTGGAGCACTGGGATGGCTGGGCTATTGCTAGACAAGCAGGAGAAGTGTGATGAGGGGTAAGTGAGCTTGGGGTAGGGATGGGGTCAAACAGTTAACAATGAGAATGACCTGAATGCCACCCATCAGGGCAGATCCTGAGCATGGAGCCAAAGCAGGGTCCCAAGGTGCCCATGCTAAGCCAGGTGGGCCCTTTAGTTATTGGATCCTAGGAAGGAATGGGAGTGCTAAGCTAGGGGTCAAGGGGCACCAGGGGCAGCAGCTGTTCCTGACTGCAGAAGACTATTTCACCATTCTAACCCCCGGAGCAGTTGTAGCAGCATCTGCCTGCTGACCTCGGCCCTTTGGGTTGCACTGGGGCTGCAGGAGGCGTGGTGGCCCCAGCTCAACCTGGCCTTTGCTGTGTTCCAGGGGGCGCCATGGAGGACACCAGGGCTCCAACTTATGCCAGGTCCCAGCCCATCACCAAGACCTTTTACATCAAAAATACCGTCTTCCATATTCCACGGCGAACAGACCAGCTAATGTGAACTCACTGAGGGTTCAGAAGCAGCTCCTTCCCGTTCCCATAGTCTGTCTGGACCCTGCAGAGTAGAGATGCTGCCAGCCCCACCCCCTTCCTCTGTGCTATCGAGCCCTGCCTCCTCTGCTGAACGTGGATGGATGAGTGCTGCCCTAACGCGGGCCCACCTCTAGGATTTGGGGTGGCCCACCTGCTGCCTCTTGTCTGCCCTTAAGGACCTCAGCTCCTGGCAGAGCTCCTCGCCCCCCACCATCGCCAGCGCCTGCCGCTCTTCTGGGGGACACAGCGGAGTCTCGAAGTGCTCCAGCGCAGACCTGGGTGGGGAGGGGCTCGCTAAGTTCTGAAGGTGCTAAGGGGAAGGGGACTTCTCCCTGTCCTTCCTTCCTACCCTCTCTTGAAGGGAGCCCTAGCAGAATTGCTTGGTCCCAGAGTATCCCACAGTGTAGGGAAGAAGTAGTTTCCACGTTTACTTACTGCTTCTCTTACCCTCACGAACCGGCATGGGTCAGGGTTGCCTCACTGCCCTAAGAAACAGCCCTAGATCCCAGCTGTTAATCCAATAAAGACATGTTTCATACAGCACAGTGCGATCTGTCATTCAGTGGACCACCTGCCGCCTGCTGACCTGGGGATCCAGGCTTCATCTGGTGGCTCTGCCAACTCCTAGAGCCTCAGAGTCCTTCCCTGAACCCTCCACATGCAACTGGGGGACAAGGGAAGAGAGAAAGAGGAGCCCGGACAGAACATGCCCACTCTTAACCACCTTGGCCTGGAGCTGACAATCATTACTTCCTGTTGCATTCTATTGGTGAGAACAAATCACATGACTTCTAGCTGTGAGAAGGATGGGAGTGTTGTGTAACCAGGTGCCCAGGAAGGAGAGGAGAAAAGGTTTGGGACATCTAGGCCATCTCTGCCACACTGCCTGAGGTGTCCTATGGCTGCTCTGGGGTGGATGTGGGCTCAGCCACCACCCTGAACTTAGAAGTCCCCTCCTGCATAGTTTGCTAGGATGGTCATAACAAAGTGCCACAAGCTGGTGGCTTAAAACGGCAGAAGTCTGCCTCACAGTCCTGGAGACTGGAAGTCTGGAAACCCTGCTCCCTCTGAAACCTGCAGGGCCACCCTTCCCTGCCTCTTCTGGCTTCTGGTGGTTTGCCGGCAGTCCTGGGCAGCCCTGGCTGGCAGCTGCCAGACTCCAGTCTCTGCCTTCATCGTCACATGGCACTCTCCCTGTGTGTCTCTGTCTTCACATGACCATAAGGACACCAGTCGTGTTGGATTAGGGGCCCGTCCTACTCCAGTATGACCGCATCTTAACTCATTACCTCTGTTATGACCCTATTTCCAAAGAAGGTCACATTCTGAGATATGGGAGTTAGGACTTCAACATATCTTTTTTGAGGGGGGCAAAATTCAACCCATAATACCTCCCTTCTGATAGCTAAACCTTAGTTACTCCTCCTTTCCTTGGGATGAGTTCCCTCCTGGATTCCCAGGCATGTCAAATGACTGTACCTGGAAGTCTGTCCCGTGTTGGTGCACGCAGCATTTCATTGCTTACAAGGCCTTGGGCGCTTAGGGAGCCCAAAGAGTCATCCTGCACACAGCTCTTTGCAAAACCAAAATGCTTGCGGGCATATCTAGCTTAATTAGGGCACTCTGATACCCCTCCACTGCACCCGGTCAAAGAGTGGCCCCTCAGGCTGGCCAGAGAAAGACCTGGGCAAACTAATAACTCTTGTGAGGACTACCTCCAGAAGAATTTTCTAGGCCTCTCCTGGTCCACCTCTTAGCCTGAAGCTCCACAGAAGAGCTAGGCCACCTAAAACTGCCTGAGTTTCCTGTATCAAGTTTGGGGAAGTTCTTGAGTGGGAAAGAGCCACAGGCAGAGAGCGTGAGCAAGGGCCAACGCGTGCACATGATTCTGCTAGCATTTGTACCACAGCCTTGCACACCAGAGATGCTTCACAAATACCTGCCAAATTTAATCAAATACCAAATAACTCCCTGGGTTCCTCTGGGCTCATTTGACTGAACGCGACAAACGCTGAACTAGCGGCTCCCACGGGCCAGGCCTAGGCTGGGCTCCTGGGGCATCAGTGGGGCAGCTCCTTGTTCTCGGAGCTCACGCAGCACAGAGTGAGAAGGGCTGTGACGGGGGAAGATGGGCACCTCTGGAGCACAGAGGAGGCACTGAAGCCAGCACGGGGGCTCGAGGCAGGCTTCCTGAGGGAGCTCACTGTTACTTCCGTCATTAAGTGAAACAATGCTCAGAAATGCCTCGCAAGGGCCTGGCTCTATATCTGTGAGTTCTATTAGCGATGATGATGGTGATCTCTATCAGCAGCGAGTCTGCAAACTGCTTAGAAGAGGACAGCCTGCCACTGGGGCAGCCTTTCTTAGTTGGGATTTTGTGAATAAATTAAGCCCTGCTGGAAATTGTTTGAGTGACTATTTTCTCAGTTCTCCCAAGGATGGTACTCGATAGCTAGCACCATTCTAGAGGCACAGGAAGGAGGTCAATTCATCACAAGCAGTGGATGTCCCAGGATGTTAGGGCTTAATTCTTCTGGGGAACTTATTTATGTACTTAATAAGCACTTATATGATATTTACTATGTGATATATGAAATAGATGATATTTCCTTATTCTAAGCCTGCACGGTCCAATTCAGTAGTCTTGAGCCACATGTATCCATTGAGCATTTGAAATTGAGAGGGATGTGCTAAGTATAAGAGACACATCAAATTTCAGAGATTTTGGTATGATAAAAAAAATGCAAAATACGTCATTAATGATTTTTGTATTAAATTACCAAATTTGGATATATTGGGTTAAATCAAGGATTAGCAAACTTTCTCTGTAAAGAATTAGATAGTATAGATTTTCAGCTTTGTGGGCCATGCAGTCTCAGTTATGCAACTATTCAACTCTGCTGTTTGCAGTGTAGAAGCAGGCGTGGATAGTACACAAACAAATGGGCGTGGCTATGTTCCAGTGAAACTTTATTTAAGAAAACAGGTGTTGGGCTAGAGTTGACCCACAGGCTGTAGTTTGTTGACACCTAGGTTAAATAAATATATTATTAAAATTAATTTTACATGTTTCTTTTTGCTTTTTTTTTAATGTGGCTACTATAAAATTTGAAATTACAGATACAGATTGGCTGACATGATATTCCTATAGGAAAGGGCTAGTCTAAGCACTTTACAAATATTAACTCTGAAGGATAACTCTATTACCCTGGGAAAGAGGGGGTGTGTGTGTGTGTGTGTGTGTGTGTGTGTGTAGGGGGAATGTGTGAATTCCGATGACAGCCTGAAGAGAGCGCGTGGAGTTGGCTCCTTGGCCTGACTCCTCTGCTGCTGAGGATGGTGCCCAAGAGCAGACCGGCTGGTAGCTGCTCCCTGGGGCTGTTTGGACGGGTGCCCTCCCTCTAGGTTCATCCTTTGAATAAAGGCTAGTTTCCTAAAAGACCGCCAGGTGATGCTATTGGACCACAGGCGACAGCAGCTGGACCACTGGAAACCTGCATTCTCCCCTGGGCTCTGCCATCCTTTTGCTGTGTGGCCTTGGACCTCAATTTCTTCACCTATAGTGTGAGGTTAAGACTAGACTACTGAAAACATGGACTTTGGAGGCAGACTGACTTGATCGGCCTCGTGACTTCACCAGGGCCACATTATGACTTTTGTGGGCCTGAGACACTTTTGCCTTCACTGGTCCTTTCTTCCATAAAAAAGCATATTAAAAATTATATTTTACAGCTACATTGATATGAAGACAAACGTATTACTATCATATATTAAAAATTTTTTCAACCTAAAATTTTATCTCTTTCCTTCTTATTCTGAAAGAAATTAAGACATTTCCACAGCCCCTAAAAGTTTCGTGGGTGTGCTTACTATGCCTCATGGAGGAGTCGCCCTGGGCTCCACTACTCACCAGCTGTGTGACCATGGGCAGGTTGTTGAACTTCTCTGGGTCTCAGTTTCCTCATCTACAAAATGGAGATGACAACAGGCCCCCCCTTTTAGTGCCGTGAGCTAGGGTACCCCATGCCTTCCTAGAACACAGCCTGGCACAGAGTAAGCCTTGGCAAACGGCAGCTATTATTCATCATCAGTATTATCTTTAAAGATATTTTCAGCTCTAATCTCTGTGAAATTGTTAAAATATCTCAAACAAGCAGGAATTTCAAAATAAATGTCAGAAAAATTAAATGAAACATCCAGGGTATTTGATGGGGAAAGCAAGAGTTCCAGAGAAGAGTGTCAGCAGAAGGAGTTTTCACAAATGACTAATCTCTTTTCTCCTGCCATCAGGGAACTCATGGCAGGTAGGAACATGGGCTTGTAACAATCAGCTGAACCTGGGCCAGCTGGGGATACTTACCAGGTGGGCAGACCTTGGGGAGAGGGGTGTGTGTGTGTGTGTGTGTGTGTGTGTGTGTGTGACTGGAGCATCCGTCTTGGAGAAGGGGAGGGTTGCACGGAGTTTTGAAGGCCATGAAAGCCTCAGCCATGTGGAGAGAGAGACAGTGTGCTTTCAGGAGAGAAAGGCAAAGAGGGGAGGGGTGCTTTAGGCAGAGGGAACAGCATGTGCAAAGATCTGAGGCAGGAGTGGTGAGGGCAAGTTCAGAGAACCACTGTGAGGTTTACCCTTAGCTGGATTTTAAGGTTTTAGTTCTTGTGTCCCTGGAGCCATCCCATTTTATAGCCTTCACATGTTCTCTGAGGAACTTTAATACACTACAGGGCACTGTTAATTGTTTGGTGGGTTTTTTTTGGTAGATTGGTCCTGAGGTAACATCTGTTGCCAATCTGTTTTTTTCTTCTTCACTCCCCAAAGCCCCCTAGTACATAGTTGTGTATTCTAGCTGTAGGTCCTTCTAGTTCTGCTATGTGGGATGCCACCTCAGCGTGGCTTGATGAGCGGTGCTAGGTCTGCACCCAGGATCTGAACTGGTGAAACCCCGGGACGCCGAAGCTGAGCGTGCGAACTTAACCACTCGGCCACGGGGCTGGCCCGCACTGTTAATTTTTTAATCCCCAATTTGTACCAGCAAAAATCACTCCCTAACTTTGTAAATTAGGTATATGCATCTGGATGGGTTTCTAAGAAAAATTACGATTCTACAACCCATTGTCCACTACCTTTGGCTCAAATATTTTCTTTATTTAAAAAAAAGAGGATAACTCCCTAAAGGCTATTGCCTTTTACTCCAAGATGGCACAGTGAGTGCCGCCTGAGTTTAATTAATTTCTCAAAAATTTATTGAGCAGCGACTAAGATGACACAGCTCTGCCCTCATAGAGGTTGTAGGTTGGGGACAGGGAAGAGACATTGGACAAGTAATTACACATATGATCGGGGTTAGGAAGGGGACATACAGGGCACCGTGGGAAGATGTAACTGAGGATCCCAAAATAGATTGGAGGGACTGGTCAGAGAAGGCCTCCCTGATTGAGTGAGCTTGAAGCTGAGTTTTAAGGAATGAAGAGAAGTTTGCTAAGTGAATGGGGCAGAAGAGCACTACAGGAGCAGGGGAACAGCACATGAAAAAGCCCAGAGGCTG